CATTCCATAATTTTAAATTTTTAATACAGATCTTGAATACAGTAATCTACTATCACTAATTTGTATTATCAGACATTTTTACATTGATGATTACTTCTGAAGTTCCTTATCATTTGTAAACATTCCAATGTGCTTTTTTATTACTGTATGGAGAGCATGATATTTAAATGAGAACAGTTGTAAAAAATCGGATGTGACTAAATGCAATAGATAAAGAAAGTTTCGAAATCTAAACAGACTCTAGATTTTCCTCTTGAGCCAGAAACTTCAAAAATGAGATTTACCAATAACTTAAATTATTGTGACCTCATGATGATAACATTTACTCTTGTAGTATTGTATGCTGAATGACTTATTAACCCTTTCCACTCGCGAATTGCGAAATATTATTATTAAGAATTATTTATTGCGAAGAATTACATCTAAGTTTTTTCTGACAAGGACAACTATTTCCTTCTTCCTTTGGAATTTTGATAAAACTTGGCATGATGATAATTTTGGTACCTAACTGACGTCAATGAAATATTAGAGGCCTATGAAATATATCGTAAGTTTCTGATAGACAATTACACATATATAATAAAATCAGAATAAGGTGGATATGGTAATATTTAATAGATTCAATAATGCTCCATAAATTTTTCACTTATACTGTTGATAATAATTAATTTTACCAATAATTTCGTTAACAGTATGATGTGTAAAATTTTGTTTGAATTGATTTTATTAAAATTTGTGTGGTATTTGCCACTTACACCATTTAAATACCACACAAATAAGTTAAATCAAGTATATTGACACCTTTGGCTTCTTCAATGCCAGATTAACATAGCATGTAATTAACACTTATTACAATAAAATTAATTTCAAACAATTTCACGATTTGCACATCCGTTGATTACAATAATTTTCACTGCGTTTAAAATAAATATACAAGCACTTGCAAAGGTAAATATATGTTTTCTTCTGTCAGCCTTTTAGTTATTTGCTAAAAAAATTACCACCATTATTTAAAATAAACTGCAAAATTGCATATCCTGTTCTTCTAGAGAATCAGTGTCGACATGCAAAAAAACATTCATTCACACTTGAAAATTCTTAAATGATTCGACACTGATTAATCTTGATCTATTTTAGATGCATCTCGACCGAATGAAAATGTGAGAGTAAATTCTATATATTATAGCCTTAATTAGAATATAAACTGGAGAAAATTTAATTAGAAGAAAGTACAAAATGCATAAAATCCTATAATTGAATTATTTCAGAAATCCTATTAATGTGGTTAGCTAATTCCATGTGAAACAATGCAGAAATTATATTTTAAAATGGGATCGAGAAAATTCTAAAAGATAAAACATAATTGGTAAAGGTGATAATAAATGATTGAATTGATCAGAAGTAATCACAAATGTAAAAATGTCTCATAATATTATACAAATTAGTGATAGTAGATCATTGGATTTAATATCTGTATTAAAAATTTAAAATAATAGATTGCTTGGAAAATTATTATGCTAAAAAGTAAATGTTTGCTAATAGGTAATATTCGAAATATTAGGTTTTCAAATAGTTATACTTAGGTAATTATTTTTGTATTATATTTAAAGACTTACATTTGTATTACATAAAAAAAACATAAGAATATATTTATTGAAGTAAAACTTTTTTAGGCGCGACTAGGGAGTAAATCTGTGAAAATGCAACGGAAGTTGCGTTACGCCCGAACTCTAGAGTCAATAGAGATCATAAAAATAAAATTTTATGAAATGATTTCAACAGTAGTAGTATACGATATCAAAATAAATATCGTATATTTTAACCACATTTTTTGCTATGTCAGTCATATGTGTTTGACGCTAACAAGTTCTACATGGGCCACGTCAGACATATATGACTGACATACGGAAAAAGAGGAAAAAATGTATTAATATAGGGCTATGTCAGTCACGTATGTGTGACATAATAATAGTGTTTTTTTCAGGAAATTTGTCATTGCATTGTTACATTTTGAATAAAATTATCTAATAAAGTTTAGTAACTTCGTGACCCATGTGAAACATTTTCTGATTGTGGCGATTAATGTGTTAAATAATAATTGTGAAATATAAACAAGTCTATTAATAAATTGCATACAATTTTATTAAAATAAAATAAAATCACTAATTTTATAGGACTAAGAGGCCACATAGCTCCAAGTTGAACTTTGGAGTTAGCACTCTATATTTATAAAATTTATTGCTCCAATGCGCAAATCCATAAATTAAAAACTATTAATCATCAAATACAGCCAATTAAAAAATATATAACAGAAAATATTACAAATAAATCTGTTTACCGCATACATTAATTTTTGTACACAATCAATTAATTCCAACTATTTATTTAAAACGCAAAACAAATATTTTTATGTGCAAAGAATAAAATTACAGTAATCAAATTCATATTTCGTGCTGTTTTATATTTCCTGTTGCTAATTTTGGGACCGTGAAATATTGGGCAATAAAATCATAAAATTAAATTGACTTATGATTTAAACTTGAGATAAAATTATGAACAACAATAAATTCATATTTAAATACACGCTGGTTAATCGATGCAGTCTGAAAAATTTGAGATCTAGTGAAATAATAATTTAATTCGTAATTTAGGATTTTTAAGAATGCGTTTGAGAAGGTCATATGAATAAATATAAAGCATTTTGTGTAGTATTTATATTTAAATTTGTATAGCAAAATTTAAATCATAATTCATAAGAGCATAATAGATTTTTTGCTGAAAAGAATGACTCTTGTCGGATTTGGCATTCAAAATTATATTCTACAGATTCCACTGACATTCGATCTCTTTATCTTTTAAAATCTATGAATTCATAAGTAAACTAAATCAATATGTATAGGAATTCAAGAATATAACAATACACCACTTCATAAGCAAACAGGTTTATTTATGGAAGCTGTAAAATATATTTGCTCACCAATTTAATATCTTCAACTTACGATTGTATAAAAATTTATTTTATAAATCAAATTACCAGAAAGAAATTTTTAAAATACCATGATTATTGATTTCTATATAATCGCGTGTGAATTAGGTCACAAACAAATTTCAACATTAATTTTATTGGCATTCTTATTTTTTATATATCTCATGTACTTAAAACATTATGATTTTATTTGCATTTAAACGCACATAAATAGTTGGAATATTTATTAAATTATCAATCTTTCGCTGTAATATAATCTAAGCTTTACGATCTTTAAATGATATAAAATGAGTTTATGATCTTGAGAAGAGTTTAAGTTTCGCGAAGTGAAAAATACGTGAAATTGACCATAATAGTTCTGAGATATCGTTGATTTATAGTAAAAATATAAAAATATTTGAGACTTGCGAAACAAAGCAAAATTTGAGTTACGCGATATTTAAGAGTTGTTCTGGTCCAAAAGCTTCAAGAAATATTTTTCTTAAACTTTTCCAAGTTTAACTATTCAAGAATATGTGTACAAGAAGATTTTTTAAAATTTGAATTATTTTCTATATAGTTGTTTGTCTACGATAATCCTCCTTTGTTTCCTCGATCTGCGAAAATTTAAACTCGTTTTTCTCGAAAGTGTCTTTTTCAATATGATACCCATGATTTCTCAACTTTTACTAGCCCAAATTACTTGAAATTTTTTAAGAATCTTCTTTATTGACTTCTCTTTAGAATGATCTAATCTCATCCACAATTTCCGATTTTTACTATATTTAAAAAAATCGAGAATATCAAAAAAAAGTTGTAATTTTTTATTCGGACAGTTCCTATTTTGTGATTATTCTTCACTTGCCCGTATTTCCTATAAATGCGACATTGTAGCTAAATAATTCCGTCTTATTTCGGAAATCTGAATCTGAAATCAAGGTTGCTAATTTTTTGAGAACCCTACTTCATCACTCGCTAGAATTAAAACATTGTGACTGTTTTTAATTTTCATTTTTTCTGTGTTCTTAAAATATTAAATAACAACATATAATTTTTTTCATTAATTAGGTTCATTTAAACTTTGGATCCGTAACTGTGAATAACATTTCTAGAACCACAGTCAAAAATTATGATATAATTCCAAAAAATTTCAAGAATTAAAATTTTTTGTTAAACTATGAACTTAAAATTTTCAAATTTGCTCTTGACAAGCCCTCCTTTAAAAATGTACTAAAAGTGTTTTAGCAAATTCCATCAAAAGTTGGGGCACTTAATCAAGATTGTAGAATGATAAAATACTTGATAGTTTCATAATGAAAAAAATGGAATTAAGAAATAAAAATCTAAAAACAACCAGATTTTTCTAGTGCATTTTACTCACAATTAGTTCAAATGTTTGTTGTATGCGCAAGCTCCAATGTGCAAGTCAAAAACATTTGAACTGGTTGTGAGCAAAATGCGCAGAAATCATGTTATATTTAGGTTATTTTTTTACTAAATTTTTTTAACCCAGTATAACAAATTCTGAGGTTATAAGGGAGAAAGGAACAAATAAATTTCACATTTAGTATATTAAAACAATTTATACAAGAATTATATCCATATTGCAAAAGAAAGTCGCAAGTAATTTATAATCATATTAATCATGAAAACTTTAACAGATATATGAGGTAATATATGTGACGGTTAACATAATTGTCTAACGTTTTTATTGAATTTATCAGAACTTAAAGGTTCTATTAGCTACCAAGCAGTTGTCTCATCTCAATGTGATAAATTTTATCATTACAATTTCTGTAATAGTGATAAATTTTTTATGCAACAATGGCTAAGAGTAAGGACTATTTTCTCTTGGCAAAAACATGTCACTACATACGCTGATCGAGTTGAGTATCGAATCCCATAGCTACTATTACCACTAACCCACAGCCCCCTTACAGCATAATATATAGATACCAATAATTGATTTGAAAACGAACAAACATTTTTTTTACATTTCTTCGATGCAACATGAGATTTTTATCTAATCACTTACTTAGCCAGACGTGTCCTCGTCCGATGGCGAAATCCAAACCCGCCAAATCTCTGCGCAATTGTGTACGATCCATGTCTAAAACGCACTCAGGTAACAAAAACAGCTGATCGGGGTCTTCCTCGGCCGCCAAAAGCCGTGGGCGCGAAGACAAACGCGCGGCGGTCAACATAGCTCGGTTAAAACGACGGCAAATAATACGCTACAGTTACGATAATAAAAGAAATAACAAACAGGATAATAATTATATTTGCTTGTGTTTCAGGCGCATTCTGGTGCAGGTAAAAATCAGGATGTTCTACTCTGGCATTTTTATTTCTCTCCACGAGTTGCAGTTGCAATTATCAAGCAAGATTTTTTGTCCAAACATTAAGTTCCAACTTTATGTGTCGTATGCAAAACTTAATGAACGTGGCTCTAGATTATATTACATTCAGTTTTTGTTGTTTTGTTGTTATCTTCTCACTGTTCTTAATCGGTCGACTTGGTATTGGTGGTTTTGCGAAAGGCAGGCCTTCAGGCGAAAACAAGCAGAATTCCCAACGTGAAAGAGTTATCATGCTAAAACATCTTTATGGGCGATGCACGCATTACGACATCCAAACAACACGACCAACACACTTGGTCACGGTCCTTTTCAAGGTCAGAGGGAAAAAATGTATCTAATTAAAAGATCCTTTAATAATTTCAATCTTCTAAGGTACTTCCTTGGTACAATTGTATTATAACACTGACATCTAAACACGGCACGACCAACGCACTTGGTCAGGGTCCTTTTCAAGGTCAGAAGAAAAAAAAGTATCTAATTAAAAAATCCTCTAACAATTTCAATCTTCTAAGGTACTTCCTTGGTACAATTGTATTATAACACTGACATCCAAACACGGCACGGCCAACACACTTGGTCAGGGTCCTTTTCAAGGTCAGAGGAAAAAAAAGTATCTAACTAAAAGATCCTCTAATAATTTCAATCTTCTAAGGTACTTCCTTGGTAAAAATGTATTGCAACACTGACATCCAAACACGGCACGGCCAACACACTTGGTCAGGGTCCTTTTCAAGGTCAGAGGAAAAAAAGTATCTAATCAAGACATCCACTGATAATTTGAATCTTGTAAGGTATTTCCTTGGTACAAATGTATTACAACACTGACATCCAAACACGGCACGACCAATACACTTGGTCAGGGTCCTTTTCAAGGTCAGGGGGAAAAAAGTATCTAATTAGAAGACCCTCTAATAACTTGAATCTTCTAAGGTATCTCCTTAATAAAAATGTATTAAAACACTGACATCTAAATACAGCACTACCAACACACTTGGTCAGGGTCCTTTTCAAGGTCAAAAAAAAAAGTATCTAATCAAGACATCCTCTGATAATTTGAATCTTCTTAGGTATTTCCTTGATACCACACTGGCACGAAATATTACATAACTCCAGAAGCTGTATAAAAACACAAGTCAAAAAATATGGTATCACGATTGTTGCCACTGATGTAAAAAAGCACACTTGTTTGAATCACGTTATTTAGATATATGTATTAGACTTTTATCAAGATTTATTTATTCAGCATATCGATTGAAATATCAATTGGTTTCGCAAACAGACTGTCCGTTTGCAACGGTTAAAACAACGAACAATTTGTTGTGACTGTTATGTTTGAAAAGACAAGTTGACCGCATATGCAAATCATATGATCGTAGTAAAAGAAATTCTTTACTTCTGGAACCAAGTCATCATCAATCCTTTAGGACTATATATATTTCCACTTAAGCATTTGTCTTTATGCACTATATTTTTTTGTAACTGTATATTTTGGCATAGCATAGATCACACATCCCAAAACTAATACTGTATGTATGCAGAATATTTCATGTTATGACAGAATCCAAACTATGATGATATCATCCAACGCATGTGAATCATCATTTGGCAGCTCAGAGGCATTTCCATGTTAAAAGATGAAACAAATTAAGAAAAATTATCCATGGGAGGTTGACATATGAAAACACTGATAAAATTAAAATCCACCTTGGGGGTAACAGAAATAGATTATTTGAGTTATAACACTACTTTAGGTAACAGAATTAATAAATATAACTTGATATTATATATTTTTAACAGTAAGTATTTAGATCACTAGGTATCAATAGAAGTTTGTATATTATTTTTAATTAAACAAAATTTCATTTATCATTTATATTTAATATCTTCGATCTACCACGTGGTGACCATCGAAAGGCAAAAAGTCGCGGAGCACTCGCCTGTAGCGCGTCCCGTCGTATACTGACATCGCGGTGTTGAAGTCGATCAGTTGTACTACGTTAGCGGGCTTTCTGATTTCTCTGTATGAGTACATGTTATATGAGTATATGACGAGTATGTATGCACATGGACATTATATGAATACCACTGAAAAAACTTATCACAATCAATTGGTGGGGAATTAAAGTAATGAAAATCTATATGTACTGCATTAATGATAGTTGACCAGTGTGTAGGGAAAAAGGGTATAAAAAATAACGAGTTCCTGAATATTGATAATGAAGACATGTATGAGGAGTAGAGAATATTTTTCAACCGTAATGAACAATAATCGTAGTTCAATAAATAACTTAATATGCATATAAGGGGGCGTCCATTAATCACGTGATCGATTTTTAAGGATTTTTGATACGTCCCCCCTCCCCCTTTTTGATACGTCCCCCCTCCTCCTTTTTGATACGTCATGATATTCAAAATAACCCCTTCTCCTTCACCAAACATCACGAGTATGTTTAGTTACGTAAAATTTTATGAACGAATTTTTCAAATTTATGAAAAAATATTTTTTTTTCTTTTGAAAATTTAGGCTAATCCTTCCTCCCTCCCCCTACGTACTTTTTTGTGATTTTTTATCAAACCTACCCTTCTCTTAAAAGCCCCGCGTAATTAATAGAAGTCCCCTGATAGGAGAGGCTGGGTGCAGTTGTGCTGCTTTTTTATCAGCAATAATTTTGTTAACTTACTAGTTAGCTGGAAGAAAGGTAAATTATACGGTAATGGTAAACATTTGTCTACATTTCGAAATATTGTCCTAAAATACGATGGATTAATCATGTAATCGTCATATGAATACCACTGAAAAAACTAATTAATTGGTGGGGAATTAAAGTAATAAAAATCTATACTATATTAATGCTGGACAAATGCAGGAATATAAAAGGGTATTTGAATATAACGAGTTTCCGAATATTCATAAGGGACCGTCCATTAATCACGTGATCGATTTTTTAAGATTTTTGAATTGCTTCCTACCCCTTGGTGATAATACGTGGTGATAATTAAATCCCCCCCTCCCTCACCTAGCATAACGTGTATTTTTAGTACCTAGAAAGAGCCGTAAAATTCCAGGATTTTATTCTTATATTTTGTTTTGTTTTTTAAATTCAGGTAAAATCCTAGTGGTGCATGGCATCGTGCCTTAAGGCAAATTGCTGAAACTTCCCATACCGCAAATTAAAATTTTTAAAAAAACTTGACAAGTTTTTGAAAACTGAAAAAATTAGATTTATGAGAATTTTGAAATTTTGGAAAAAGTTTTACTTCTTTAAAAAGTAGATTTTTTTATTTTTAACTTTTCTTTCAAAACAATCGCGCTGCGTGACGGTTTTAGAGATAAAATATCGAGGCGCGTAAGCGTCGCGTCGCAGTCTGACGGCTTATATGCCAAAAACAAATCAGCACGTCTCCCCATTAATACAAATCGAATCTTTTTTGAATTATTCAAATCTGTTAATTCGTGTTCCCAAAATCGTCGACAAAAAATTGTATCCGCACACACACACACGCACATACACACACATACTTAATTTTTTACTAATGTATGCCAAAATGTTCAGAAACCTTTAAAACATATTGAAGGTCATTTTCTTTTTAAATCATAATTTTGGATCTATAGCCTCAAATGAAAATTTAATATCATGCTACCTGATATCGAGCTTGGCCGAGGTTCGGATCGAACCCGCGACTAGTTTTATGTTATCCCACGTCCTTAACTATTTTTGAAATTCATTTGAAAATAAATAAATATAATTCTACAGTAAACTTATAAAATATTTTGCAATATACATAAGGATATTTACATGATTTTCAGATCCTCATGTTTTATGTAAATTCAAGTCATATAAAAATTTAGTTTTTATTACATTTAGTAATTAGTCATTTAGTAATTAAGTCTTATTATGTGTATACTAGCAATATCTGTATGGTTGTTATCGAAATATGTTTATACTAGCAATATACGTATTACAGTAATTGGAATATGTTTATGCTTACAATATATGTATTATTATGAAATGATTTGACGTATGCTAAATATTTGTATATAATAATATTATATTTCTAGGTATTTTATCTCATTTGCATTTTGTTTTTATCATATTTATTATTAGAATTGTGCTATAATTAAACATGTATTTTTTTTAATTTGATATATAAAGAATTTATTATTCCTCAATTGAACTGCTTAATATTCTCGTCATTTCCAATCTAAGATTTTAATGATTTTTCATATTAATAAATATGTCAAGTAAAATATGATGATATACGAAGAGAATATAATGAAAACATTACCATACAACATTGTATCATTAAAATTCACACATGTATAAATCACAAGGCGATGTTTTTCCCTTATTAAAATAAAACTGAATCTAATGATTCAAAATATGTTGTATAGTAATAATACAGTTAACAATTAACTACAAAGTACGATGCACCTATAAAGTCATTCGCCATAAAAGAAGATACGAGATCATGTAGATTTTATTGTACAACATCCGACAGAATTAAATATCAAGTAACTAATTATATTATAATTATTTTTTTCTGCAATCAACACGTAGTTGAAGGAGAATTATAAATGAAGTTAAATTTGTGTAAGGATATATTAATTAGTTTCAACGCAAGTTTTAAAAATGATATAAAAAATAGTGGTGCATGGCATCGTGCCTTAAGGCACATTGCTGAAACTTTCCGTGCCAAAAATTAAAATTATTAAAAAAGCTGCAAACTTTTTTCAAAATTGAAAAAATTAGAATTAGAATTTGAAATTTTTGAAATAAATGACTATTTTGAAAAATTTGAATGTTTTTATATTGTGAAATTTTTTAATCATTTTTAACCTTTTTTAAAGCAATCGTGCTGCGTAGCTATTAAAGACATCAGATTAATTAGCACGGCTCCTCATCGATAGAAATCGAATGTTTTTAACTTCCCGTAGGGCAAGTTATAGTAGTACAGTAATCCAAAACAATTGGAAATTTTAGTCATACCTTAAAAAAATTGGTGTATGTGTATGTGTATGTGTGTGCGTATGTGGGTGCGGATACAAATTTTCATCGACGATTTCGAGAATACGGATCAACCGATTTGAATATTTCAACTAGTGGTGCATGTCATCGTGCCTTAAGGCAAATTTCTGGAACTTCCCGTACCACTGGAACTTCCCTTTAAATTTGTTTGAAAACTTTGAAATAAAGAGATTTTTGAAAATATATAAATATTTTCATTTTCTGTATTTTTGCGACTACTATAACTTACCCTCTATATACTATAATTAACCCTACAAGTTAAATAAAAAGTTGATAAGATTTGTGATATGGCATTTGTCATTTTTCTCTCTTCATTATTATTCTTAAAAAACGTTATGTATTTATAAGTTTTAAAGATCATTTTACTCACCATACCCAATGCAAGAAAAGATTTACAGAGAAATTGAACTTGCTTACCTGAAACAAAATAAAAATCATTAAATACTTTATATTTTATAACGTATTTAATTTAAAACTAAAGAAAAATATCTAGTAAGACTAACAACTCTATATATCGATTTTATGCCGAACAATTTGGGGTATTGCGTGTAACATATCTGGTGACCCAATATTTCACGTAATAAATTATT